CTCCAGCCAAAGGCAACACCATTTCTCAGAAAGTCCTTGAAAAGCCGCAAATCTGGAAATCCAACATCATGATCTTATTGTAGAACTGACAGCGTTTCCTAGCGAACAGTCTTGTTCCACCGAGTGGGTCTTCTTTCCTTCGCCAAGAAGTGCCTACAGTTGAAAAGTTCAAAACTCGCCTTTGCGGCTTCCAATCGTGCCCGAGCCTCTTGTGCCTGAGACTGGCAACAGGTCAAACCAATTCAATCACCGGTCTAAAGAGCCTTCCTTTGAAGTGCGACATATGTGTTAATTGTTTGGTTTTAATCCTCTTTTCGAGAAGGTTTGAGTGAGGTCGATGCAGCGACTGCTTCCCGCAGGTGTGGTTGTGCTGACTAATTACGAGGCTCAGAAAATCTAATCAAATCAAAGGCCAAAAAGCTTGCGATTGGAGCGCCTTCACTTCCTAGGAGACACCCACTCCGATTGCAAACTCTTTTTAAAATGATGTTCAACATACAACGCCATGATCTAGCAGTTTGCAAGCCACTTGTTGGTGGCAAAGGGCTCTCATTTTCCAACCGCACAGCAAAGCCTCAACTGTCGCCAGAAAAAGCAACGGTCTCACATCGAGCCTGCCCAGCAGCCGCTGCTAAGGCTTCCTGACAAGTACAAACAAAGCTGAGATTCCGCAACGGAAATGGACCAAGAAAGGCAAAAAACAACAAGGACAACAAACTGTTTTGCTTTGAACATTCTTTCTCTAGAGTGTTCTTCTTGATTGGCAGAGTTTGGTCCTCCGCTTTCTTGCACTCTTCATCCTCCAAGGGCTCCTGGCATCGGCAAAAATTGCACAAAATATGATCCTTCGATATGTTTGTTGTCTTTACTACTTTTAACTTTTCATTTTTTTCGTTGCCGTTCGAGGCTGCAGAAGAAACCCGGCCATATTGATTCCAGCCTATCTGCACGGGAAACCTTGAAGAAAATGTCGTTGAGCATGGGTGGTGCTATATGTGGTTGTTAGCCTTCTGCCAGTCCTATTGCGGCAGTGTGAGCATATCTGCCCTCACATTTATATGCATGTTGCAGGCTTGAGCGCTTGAGCCGCTGGTGGCTGATTCTGGAACCACTTGCGAACCGGTCTCCTCCACTTCCTCGCTCTCACTTTCCTGAGAAGGACAATTCGGATCAACTAGGTGAAAAACAGGTGAAAGGAATCGAAAGGAACTGACAAAACAACAAGGAGGGAAACATACAGAGACCGAGAGCCTTTTCCTTTTCCGACTCCTCTTTCTCCTGAACACATTGGCATTCGGCATTCAAGTCTTTCAGATTGGAAATCTACAGCTCACATAGCCTTCTCCTCTTCCTCTTCCGTGGACTCTCTCGCTACGCTTTCCCTCAGGCAACCAGCAAGCTAAGCAGTACAGGGCCCTTGCATTGGCTACTTCGTGACATTTCATTCGTGGAATCATTGTGCAAGTCTGTGTAGCTGTCATCACACCGTCTGTATCTGACTGGCTGGTGCCTAAAAAATGTCTAGCTAGCTGTAGCTGGTTGCTGATCGCTTGGATGCGGACTCGCTAGAGCCTGCCACCCCCAAATGCTGTCCGGACAAGCAAAAAGAATCCGCAAAAGAATGCGAAACATAGTATTAAAAAATAACATGTTATTAAAAAGTATCTAATCGCATTTTGTATGCATTGCATACCAAACCTTTCCCTACAGCGTGGGTAGGAAGCTGCCCCTCCCTCTCTGCGTCGCTGCTGAGCACTATATAGACTACTATAATAGCTTATTCGCATCTCTTGCTTACCCAAGTTTTCCCGCAAGCTCGCCACGGCCAAGTTTACCGCATCAGTTGTCGTCAAATGCATGCATTCTTACCGTCCTTCATCATCCTTGGCTTTGACTTCTCCATTCTCCTTTTCCGACTTGTCCTGAGTCTCATGCTGGTCTGCGTGTGTCGCAGACTGGGAATAACAGCCGTGGTGTCTCGCCGTACTTGAAAGGGTCCAGGTGGTTCTCAGATTTGTCCCTTTTGTGTTTCTTTGGGTGCAGTCAAGCCTCTGAGGCATCACTCGAGGGTGATTTCGATTTGGCCTGCATTCCACAGTTTCAAGAAAAAGGAAGTGGCTCTATGATTACTAATGGACAATGCTGCTGACAGAAGTAGGCCAAACCACAATTCATTCTGCGAAAAGTCTCGGCAATCCAAACTGAAATATCTGAGAAGGCCGGGAGCAAATAAAAGAAATGCATGAACAATCTCGCAACTCTAATTTTCAAGCAGTGTTGCGGTAATATAACAGAGATGTTTCATTCAGTTTCTGCTTGATCTTAACATGTACAGCATGGGGGGGCCGTATTCCAATACTCGAACACAGAAGACAGGTCTAAAGGGAGAAAAGGAAAAAACAACTGCAAGAACTAAGGCTAAGGAGAAAAGGATATGAAAGACAAAAGCAATAAAGAACACAAGAAACAAAAATGAGCGCAAATGCCAACACATAATTAAAGACAAAGTAAACGAATATATAACTGAAAACAAGAAGAGAACTGGTCAAAAGAGAAAAAAGAAAGGATGGTGGGGAACAAAAAAAATAATTAAGGAAGCACAAAAAGCAACAAATGTCGAGGTCCAAAAACAAAACCACATGAAACCACAAATGAGAATGCCGAAGGCGCCTTTTTAGACTTCTTCTTGGATGAATGCTCACTTGACCTTGGCAGGTCATGCCGCTTTTGCTCGGTTGCTCGGCTCCTGTTCTGGCTAGTAGCGTCCTTGCTCCTAGTAGCGATGCCAGGAGCTACTAGTAGCTTCTTGTTCCTAGTACTAAGGCCAGGAGCCCCTAGTCTTCTCATCCTTGTTTCTAAGATTTTTTGTTTCTCTAGTTCTTTCGTTGCATTTCTTGTCGAGATGTCCTCGGGTAAGGCACTTGTCATTACCTTTACCACGTCCTACGACGAAACATGGGAACAGATTTGAAACACTGCTCCGAATGCTGGCTTGAGGTCTTGAAAGATAATTCAGAAATGCATGACCCAATCTATTGATTTCTTTGGTCTTCTTTCCTTCTTTTCTCTGGTTCTTATCTTCTTTACGGTATGTTTATCTTATCAACAGTTTCTTTGCTTTGCTCAATGTCTCTCTCAGTTCTCGGCTCGCGCTCGGAAGCAGAGCCTCTGTTCAGACATAAAGCGAGATCAGGGAGGGTCAAAACATGGAAGAAAATAGTAACTAGAAGCTTCCTTTGGAATCGTTTCACCTGTACCAACGAGAAGCCTTTTGAAGCTTCTTAGTGACCAAAAAGCTTTCTTAGTAGCGAAAGATAGAACACGTCAAGATTGAAAATTTCGAGGTAACTTGAAGGCTACTAAGGGCAATCTTTGTGACCTAGACTCTAGATACCTCACCTTTTCTTGCTGTATAATAAGCTTCCGGAGAATGTGCTCACACCTCTCAGTTCAATTACTGTATTTGGGGCACATGGACAAAGAGCTTTGTGGGTCTGGGCATCCGCGGCTCGTCGCCATGTCACGAACGGTCCCGGCTTGAGGTGAACATGATGCAACAAATAAAATAGCGTCCTTGCTCCTAGTAGCGATGCCCTTTGTTACTAGTAGCATTCATGTTCCTAGTAGTAAGGCCAGGAGCTTCTAGTAGCGTCCTTGCTCCTAGTAGTACGGCCAGGAGCCCCTAGTAGCTTCTTGTTACTAGTAGCGATGCCAGGAGCCCCTAGTAGCGTCTGCAACCTACAAATCCATCCAAAGCCTGGGGCATGCGACCTTTTCGAGCGGGTGGAACAATCGATTTCACAAGTCATGCCAGTGCCACTTGCTCTCTCACATCCTTCCCAGTTGCTTGAATATGTGAACAGCACCCTCAGACATGCATCAGGAAAGTCAAGAGCCATTTCTCCACCACATCTTGCACCAAAGCACTGAAGGTTGATCGGCTTTCTGAAAGGCATTCTCTTCAAATGGCCGTCCAATGGATGTTACTGATTGGCGAGGACAATCCGATCAACCCACCGTAACCCACCTCATGCCAGCACCTTAGCACCACCGTGCTCGACAAGAATTGATGCTTCCGTCATTGGCCTACAAGCAGCCGCAGTTCGGGTGTCCAGGGCATATCTGGCGCTCGAAGAAGTTGCTTGGCTGCCAATGCTTGGCTGCCAAAGCCGTTAAAGCTCTCCCTCTACAAACCTAGTAGGTTGCAGGCCATCGCTAGTAAATAGGAGTGTAAATAGGTTGGAGGCCATTGCTCTTAGTATGTCCTTTCTTTTTTGCTTGGCCGAAGCTCTCCCTACAAACCTATATGCTTCAGGGCTGCAGCGGCCGCTTCGCGGACCTCGAGGGTGCACCGTTTCGACCCGACGAAAGTACATGCCCAGACCAGTTGCTTTGTGGGATGTCATGAAGGCAAAGGCCTAAGGCTATGCTGAAGTCGTGCATATTCTTTTTTATATGCTGCTGGTCTCAAACACAGTTGCAAGTGTCGCAGCGCATTAAGCTCAGTATGCGGTTGAAAAACTCAAACACAGTGCCCCCGGAAAGAGACCTCGCAAAGATCTGAGTGGGCTTTCAAGTAGAAGCACTGTGGGTGCACCGGTCTCATTGTCAAGAAGGCACTCAACACTCAATGGCCCCAATGGCAAGCACAAAAATATAAGAAAGAAGAAAGGCGCGATGTAGAACAAAATGACACAGGGGCCGGCACAGGTACAGAGGCAAGAACAAAGTAAATCAGTCAATCTTTTTTCCTTCTTTTCAGTCTCGATTTTCAGCCCCTTTGCTCCTCGGTGCTAGGTAGGCTCGTATGTGAAACGTGTGGAACCAAACGTGACTAACCGGAGATCGTGTGGAGTCAACAGAGTGAACGTGATCCACTCGCGATTGCCAAAGAAGACAAGAGACTCGGCCGGACCGAGCTTGAATCGGCCTCTCTGAACAGAGGCATCCTAAGTAAGGCCTGAAGATGGAGCTGTACAAGTGCGGAGCATCTTGTGAACTCAGAAAAATTTGATCGGCTCATGTGGTGCCCGGATGACGCCTTGCAAGTCTTCGGTTCCACATCATTTGGGCGGAGATGGACAAGACATATGGATCCTTATGGGTTCTTATGAATAGATTGAAAGGCATGATTCCATCAGCATCAAGCGCGGCAAAGATTCAATGAGCCTTTGGTGCATGCTGCTTCCAAAAGTCCTAAGCAAAGTGGCCCTGTTGAACCCCAGGCGGCTAGGAACGCGGTGCACAAAGGCACTAGGCAAAAGGAAAAAGGAAAACAAAAAAGTCCAAATGGCCAACTAAAGGTCTACACTATAAGTTAAGGCAAACTAATTCAACAACATGAAGAATGCAAAAGGATGAAGAAAGCAAAAGAAATGCAACAAGCCCGGGCCCTGGATGGAGGTTGTCCTCAGAGAGCTTGGGAGCGTGATGGGCCAGAGATGCATTTGCCCATTCCTCAAATGGGGGCAGCGGCACCTTGCATGACAACTTAGTGTTGGGACTCGCGGGAAGCGTCCAAACGTTGAAGCAAATTCAAGCAAGTAAACTCGTAAACTCTCTGCAAGTTAGAAGCTACTAGGAGCTAAGGGCATCGCTACTAGGAGCAAGAAGCTAGTAGAAACAATAAATAGAATGTAATTAAACTCTCTGCAAGTTTCTCTTTCAGTACTGCACCGGAAATGCGCATGCGTAATGTCTGTTATTTGAGTCCAACATGGTGTTCCTTGCCGACGTACTTGTTCGACTCGAACCCCCTCAAGCTCGGTGGATTCCTGTTTGGGAAGCTTGCGGCCTGCAATGGCTGGGCGCTGCAGTATGGCCTGCAACTTTGCTACAAACGAAAGGACACAGAATCCCAAATAAGGCTTCAGTTGGTTTTCAGTGGCGAACACAAAAACGATTCAGTGCACAAATCTTCAAAAAGAGAAATAGGGACAGTCAAACAATCTGTCTATGTTGAATGATTGTGTTTGAAGCTTTGAATGGCTTCGAGATGCTTCGAGGCTCAGAACACTCCTACGTCTCCTAGGCCCCGCATTGATGCGTGCCTTGCACCGGGCTTCGCCAGGTACTGTTGATGATAGTCTTCTGCATAGTAGAAGGGCTGTTCAAAGTCACTAGCTGCCACAATCTCTGTGGTGATTCGTGGGCCCATACCTGTTCTCAGGACACTGACAAACACGTGATCCCAAGTTTTCGCAACCTTCGAAGCAGGTACTTCTTGACATTTCAGAAGACTGCACATGGGCATATATATATATATGTGTGTGTGTGTGTTTATTATGTATGTTGTAAAAAACATACAAACACATTAAAAAAATCTAAAACAACTCTATATATACATTGTTCTATTCTATTTATATATATATATTATATATTGTTGTATGCATGTGTATAATATACAACCAGTCAATTGAAGCAACCCACTTTCACTCAAAGGTTTATTTGCAAACATGTTCCGACTGATTGTGATCATTCTTTCAGGTGGATACTGTGCCGTGTACTTGCGATACAATACGTATGCCCTCCTGCTTGTGGAAGACCTGCAAATTCCAAACCACAGCATGGCAAAGCGATGCCAAAATCACGCTTGCAATGGATAATGCCGAAAATAAAACAGGCATTATCGGCATTGTGGCCTGGCCTTTCCCAGCTGCCTGTAAAGCCTTCTCATAGGCATCTTTGCCTCAGACTCAAAAATGAACGTCCAAAGGTCCAGAACCACACTTGCTTGGTGAGCTTGCGCCAAGCCACTTGCTCGCATGAGCTCTTCTTGCTCACGGTCAAAGAAAATCAGTGCACTTCCTTGGGACGTCCCACTCCAAAACGCCGGACAAACTGACAAACTTTCCAAGTAAACTTAGACTGAAAACATTCCGAATATCGTCGATGAGTCTCACATCTCCCAACCCCCAACCTCATGAAGCTAGTAACAAAGGGAATCGCTACTAGAAGCAAGAAGCTACTAGTAGCTCCTGGCATTACTACTAGGAACAAGAAGCTACTACAAAAATTGGGAAATCTTGGCGGCTCATGGAGGTTGAGAAAGTGAGAGAGTCACCGTCCTCGCTGAAGCCCAGAGTCTGTACTGCGTCCCTCGGTCATTTCCTTGGCCATTTCCCTGTGTGGGATCGTGGGACTCCCAAAACCACCGCAGGAGATCCACCATACTAACCTTCTCTGGGTCATAAACCTCAGATCGCACATCACACATCTCACATGGCTCGCATGAGCGCGTCGCAGCAACGCATCGCGGCTGTCCCATTGCGGGCACAAGAAGCAACTTGCACTGCCTCTGTCGCCCCGGTCTGTCCAGAGCAGCATTCCTGCATGTCTTAAGCTTTCCACATTATTCAAAACAAGGAATTTTGGTTCACAATGACAGGCCCTTTAGGCACAGTAGTCAAGGACTCTCTCCAGGACTCGCTCTAGGTCACTTGCTGCGTTTGCTGCGCGTCTATTCTCGAACCTCGTAGGTCGGGTTCGGGGTTCGCCCTGCTGCATAGCCAACAGCTGTGGAGTAGACACCCCCGCCTCGCTTCGCGCGGGCTTCGCGTGTTTCGCTCATCAAAATCTAAACTCGACAGAACACCAGAAGACCAAAGTATTGCTTCACGCCAGATTGAGCAAATTATTTGCCCCACGTTCATTCACAAATGCATGCCGGCACAGCATGTTCATTGCATGTACCCGCCCATGACTCATGACAACCAGGTCAGGGGATGGTGACTGACATCCTTCAAGCGACTGCAAAACCTCCTGCTCGTTCCTTGGCCTGGCAAGCGCCAAAATCCTTTCTCCGATCCCCAGAAACAGCCGTTGGCGAGAACGCATACCTCACAGCTTGACAATGCAAACAGTTTGGACATGTTTGGAAGCACGCACCCGTGGACCTGTGGGAAATGAATGTATACGGAGTGTACATGCACCCCGTGTTTGTTTAACATGCACATATAGACACAACCCGGACATATCGTCCCTCGCTCTAGAAAACTCAGGAGAGTACCTTCATTTTTGCTGGCCAAGGTCCTTCCATTGGCGTTTTCCTTGGAATGTGGGCTCTAAGGGTCGCACAAAGGGTCCCAACCTGTTTCGTGGCTCATGAAGGAGCAGTGCCAAGTCTCAAAACATAGTGAGTTGGGCTCACCTCCATCTTTTCTGCGCGGCCCTTCCTTGCAGGTTCCGGAGACAGGAAACAACTTGAGAGAGGAAGGGGGTGAACGAAAGGTAGCGCAGCACCGCGTCTGGAGAGAAACTGCACATGGATCCACACATGCTTAAAACCATCGATATTTACTACGGGAAGGCGCACAAAACCGTGTCAATACCGTAGTTGTTTGCAATCTTGAAGCCTCCAAAAGCAGAAAAATCCCTTTCCGACACAATCTTTCCTGTTTCTTTTCAATTTGTCGGCCATTTTTGAAGCCTAGATACCTCAAAAACAATCGGTTTTTACGAGGTTTTTTGCCGGACAGCCACATAAAACCCCGTACATTCATGGGTTTTCTAACTGTTCACAAAGAGGCGCGCCAGGGTGGAGTTGCAAGGGGGGGACCTCCCGCCACTAAACCGAAATGTCGGAGGCGATTTCTCAGTGAAATTGGCTTCCACTCTGGTTATAATGAAAACTCAGGTAGCGGTTGCGCAACCGCTACCTTTCGTGAAAAAACAACATATTCGATATTGTTTTCAAGATCTGGGCAACGCCACAAGCGACTGCAAAGAACTGCAATGCTTTCTGCATCTTCGTGCATCAGAAACTCAACGCACGCGATGCAGCTGCAGCTCCCATCATGCTACTGCCCGGTGGGCGAGATGAACACTGTGCAACTTGAGCCAGTACTGCCCCCAACTCCCACAAAAACAAAGAACATCTTAACAGTCTTTGTATGTCCTCTTTCTTTCCCACTGATTTGGTTCTCATTTTGTTGGGGTGACCTTGTTTCAAACAACATGTGTAGACAGCGCGCGCAAAATACAATGCCCCCGATGAGACACATGACTTCGGATGATTGGACCATCTATTTAGATCTATTTAGCATGTTGGAGTCCATCACTCTTAGGTTGGAGGCCATTGCTAGGGACGCCCAGCAAGGGCCCAAGGCGCCAAACGCGCTCGTCCCTGTCGTTGGACTGCATCGTCCCCAGGTGATCCTGGCAACCAAATCAATCAAACTTAGTACCAGTACATGATAAAATTCAAAGTAACGTAAAAAGGGATGGTTGGGATGGGCGCAGGTCAAAAAGGAACGTACTAAAATTATTAAAATGATATGTTAGAACATGTTAGACATATTCAACGCACTGACAATCGTGTATGGGGTAGATTCGATCCAAGGCTCGGAGAAAGCATTAAGGCCAAACTCTGCTCTTGTGTCAGTTTGGTGCTGGAGCTTTGGTTGGGGGTCCACTTCTGAAGACCCACCAATTGTGTAGGAAGTAAGGCAGCACTTTTGCGAAAACCATTTGGTGCCAAGTGGGCACATGCAAGACTCTTGTTTGAATTTTGGGAAGGAAGCACCACAGCAACAGCCGGCTGTTGGCCCATGATCACTTTTGTTGCCATATCTTGTTTTTCAAGATGTTTTTGCACACGCGCGCTCAAAAGCCGGCATCACCAATGCAAACTACCAAAGTCACCATTGCAGGATGTACCCGGGCCAGAACTGCGCAAATCCAAAGGTTGAATCTTCTTTGGCGCTCTTGTGGCTAGCGCTTACCCGAAGAACTGGGGAAGGCAGAAAGGACATGTGGCCGTGTTTGTTGTTGATCGCAGAAAATGGACAGTTGCCGGGACCAGCCTGCGGACCTGCCTCAGGTGTCACCCCCTACTCTTTGAGCCCGCGCGCATGGTATATGTGGCTGGTTGACCTAGTGGTTCGGGGCCATTCTTGTAAAAGGCACAGGCGTACACGCGTCTCACTCGTCTCACATGTCTCATTCTTTGTGAATGTTCATAACACTTGGACCCAAGGTCTGACCGGACTTGCAACTGTCATTTCATGAGAAAAGATTGGAAGCAAAAAAAAGATCCAACTTCGCAACCATGACAACAGCAGCAGCAGCAGCAGCGGCAGCAGCAGCAGCAGCAACCGCAAGTCAACAAACAACCAAGGACTCAGCAATCACACATGCCATACTGGAGGCCAGGGAGAGTTAACGAATGCGGGCAAAGAAGAGGCCACGGTGATGCCACTCTCAATGTTCCATCTTTAAAAAACTCAAATACTCAAACTCTCTTTTCTTTCAATCGGCCATCTGAGTTCAATCTTCACTTCTGGCATTCCGCCTTCAACCATCTTCATCTGGTGCGCCACATCCCATCTCCATTGGGTACTTTATCATACCGCACAAGTGTCCAAACTGCAAGGCACGCTGCATTGGGCAACATCGGCTGCAAGATTGTGATATCGGTGGCTGCAGCTGGTGCGGGTAAGTTGGGATTCGTTGAGGTGTGGAGAGGTCGGGAGGTGTCCTCAATCCGACAGGGATGCCGAAGGCAAACCCACTCAAGTCCTTATAGGCCTGGAGTCTCCGTTGTTTATGGTTTCCGCTATATTTGCCGCTCACAGGTCGGGGGCGGGACGCGAGCAATCTCCAGTGACTTGCACAAAGGGAGGACGTTGAGGTGCACTGGGGTTCTACCTCTTCCTCCACTTTGTGTCACTGGAGTCGGCAGTCATTCCTGGCCGCTGCTGTGGTTGCCTCGGTGTGGGTGGGCTCGGTGAGGCTTTTGGTTTTGGTCCGACGATGTGCAGCGCGTCTGGAGTGGAGGTGGTTGGTGTGGTACCGTCGTGTTTCGAGGGGAGGTGTGGGGTAGCTCTGTTGGCAACCGGCATGGTGACGGTCAGTGCAATTCCGCCCGGGTCTAGACACGTAAGACACACTGCTTTGCAAGCTATACGCAGCTTCCAAACCAGGTCCCGCCATCGTTCCAAGGAACTTCCCAGGTGGAATTGTATTGAGGCCATTTGAGCCGTCACTTGCGTTCCTGTCGGGGGTGGAGGTCGCTAATTTACTTGCCGTAACTATGTGGGGTCGTGTATCTTGCTTGAGATTTGTGCCGACATCATGAGCCGACATGTTGGGTATAGGGTTTTGGTCAGTCTAAGTTCTGAGGTTTGTGTAGGGCGTACTGTCTCCCCGTACAGGGGATGTAGTAGAGTTTTGGCGCTTGCCGTAAGTCCCGGGGCCGGCTATATGCCGTGACCTCTGCCTGGCATTGCCAGATGACCGGCCCACGGTAAACCCGTGTGGTTGTGCCTCCCCAGAAGGAGCCCATATGGACTCGGAGCGGGCTGTATTGGGCGCTCCTCTGAGGCTTTGGCTCTGGCGAGTGCAGGGTTTGGCGACCGGCGGTGTTCTCCTTTGTTCTCCAGGTGTCGAATACGTTTTGTGGATTTGGTGTCCTCGTGTTCGTGCTGGAAGCGCGCTGGGCCGGGGCGCCCATGGCGCGGCTGTTGAGGTTAATGACAGTCGGTATTAGTTGTTGGGCTACCTTTCCCGTTATCGTTCGTTCGGAATACCAGCGGAATGGCTGCATCTCATCCGCTGCTCTTCTGCACGAGAAGCACCAAATTCCGCTGAAACATCTCTGCAACCTTTCTCTTCTGCCGCAAGAATCGTTGGTGGCCCTGGTGTTCCTTGCATACGTCGTAATTATTACGTCGTGTGCACCGCTGCTGTAGCCAGGAATATGGAGCCCCGAAACGACTCTCACTCCAGCTTACTTGCATCCTCCAGTCTTCTGTATCTTCGGCTGCTATGCTGGTCGTGCGCAAGGTGTTCGAAGCTTGATCAAGATTGATTGGATTGAATACTGCCATCAAAGACTGTTGGCATTGACCAGGAGCATCAAATTGGTCTGGAAGCTGTCGAATAGATCAGGCTGGTGTACTGATGACTGATAACTGGTCCTTTCCTACTTCTGGTTAAATTAGTGAAGCGTAGCCTAACCCTGTGAAAGTGGTACAATTTCATTTCGTTCTAGACTGCAGGAGGTGGGGTGGCACACATGTGATTGTTGTTTATCGCAAAAGCTCGCATCAGCCAACTGGAACAATTCATGCTTTAGCAATGCTTGTTTGTGGGGGCCGGGCCCAACTGTTGGAACCCCAAAATGCACAAGATTCTTTCAACTAAATAAAGGTTTGCCCATAAGTCTTACTACCACCGAAGGCATGTGTATAGAACGTACATAACACACCTCTTTCGCATGACCGAATGGCGGAGGGCATGATGGGAGACATGAAGGCAAACAAGCTAGGTGTCTTGGACTCTTTCGCTCTTGCTCTCGCGCTAAAACACTGATAAAAGTCTATCAATCCAGATTGATATTTGGCCTTCGTGTTGTGGGGGGAGGCCTATGCGGGAGACTCCCCGTCCAAACTCCATGACTTACTGTCTTAATTTCATTCCTCTTTTGTGTCAGAGCGTGCATGCACAGCAAAACAGGTGCAAACAAAGGTGCAGCCAGCATGCAACAGGATGGCCACACACACACACTCCGTTTTGCAGGTGGCCCCTTGGTCTGGAATGTGAGCCAATTCTCTCAACGGACGAGGGGCTTGGTCCAGGTCTGCAAATTCAACTGGGTGGGGAATGCGAAACAATTTTTGCTACAAACAAGAGAGGCTCTGGGACATCCTGTGCCTCGACCCGTTTGACAAGCAAGGAATGAGAACAATAGCAGTATATAGGCTTAGGTTTATATAAGGCCTTTAGTTTTCGGATCGCATTTTGATAAGAACACATATTTTTGAGATACGAAGAACACTGCGAGTCGTGCGTTGGGCCTTGCGGAGTGCCACGGCCCTGGGGCCCAGATTTGTCAAGGCCTCTGTGGCCGCAAGGCGGTACCTGGGCCACAGAAATGCTATAGGGAAGGACATGAAAAAATGGCCGGTCCCATTTGGTCCGCCTTCATTCCGGGCCGCATTAGTCCTCGTTCAACTTTGGAAGCGACGCGGCACCACTCTAGGGAAGGGGAGACGGATTAGTATTGGGATGAAGCCCGAAGCAGTTCAATTGAACACGATCAAATCAATTGTGCGCACTCCGTGTTTCTGTGGAAAAGCCCATCGTCCAAATTATGGAGGAGAGGCACTACCTTGCTCCGACGCTCTCATGAGATCCAGTGAGCATCCGGAAAATCACCCATAGAAACCGACAGAAACGAAGACGGTCTACACCATTTATAGTTCTTTCTGTTTCTTTGATATCTTCAACCACTGCAAGCAAATGCCAAGTGGAACTTTAACATACTTTAACTAGGGGATTTGTGCATTTGGATCTGATCTGTGGCCGCTGCAGAATCTGGATGAAATTGCCCGAGGGCCCACCTTGTTTTGTGTTTGTTTCATTGTCACTCCCTCCCTCCATCCCTCTCTCTCTCTCTCTGTCTCTGTCTCTATCTCTCTCCCTCTCTCTCTTCCTCTTTTTTGCTTCCTTAGACCTTTCCATTTTGCTTTCTTTTGTTAACTTCTTTTCCCTCTTGCTTCTCTCCGAGTCGACGACATGCAGGCAACCCTCACCTCCATCTTCTCACCTTAACACCAGTGTCACAAAGCAGCGCAACATAGTGCGACAGGAACATAAACTTATCAGATCTACTCTGTTACAGTGTCGGGTGTGGAGCTGTGCAAAGTTATGCAAGCACCATGAGAGCTTGTTCCAAGTCGCTCAGGTCAGCATCCGGGTCATCGCCTCAAACAAGGTTGCCGAGGGCCGCGTTCGCTTCACGGAGAAGTCACGCAGAAAGACGGTGTGGGGGGGGACAATTGCGGATCAAAAATTTGGAGGTCGGAGTGAAATCTCGGTTTAGGAAAGCTATATACTAGTAACTAAAAGCTACCAGCAAAGGGCATTCCTACTAGGAGCACTCTTGCTACTACTCACTATATAATTGGAGAGACCTTCAGCATTGGAAGTTCCAAGGCCAACCAAGTAGCTCTTCACGCCGGGGCGGTTGGCTAACATCCTCGAACATACTGCAGCCGCATGTTGAGATGCCACCTGCAAAAAGACAAAATCATAAGGTCAGCAAAGCTCCCTTCTAAACTCAAGCTTTAAAAGGCACCTTAAGGGCTTATATACAGTAATAGTCTTTAGCGCATAGTTCGTCATGTGGGCTGAGTTGGTGATTCGTTCGTTGAGTTTCTAGGGGATCACCTTCCACTTACCTACTAAGCAAATCACACAGGAATGCTCAGTTAAGGCTTGCTTGCTGTTCAAAACAAAGAATCAGAATCACAAGCGGTGTGAACTGGAATTCCTTCAGCTCCTCTCTTCAATCTTCATCCCTTTCGGCCCTTTTCAGCCTGCCCATGTCTTCCCAAAGCAATTGCAGCCGTGCTCCGAACTTCCTGATCCAAGTTGTGCAAGGCCTCCCAGAAAACAACGGGAATATGTTGGAAGAAGTACAAAACACATGATGTTAATCTCAAATTGTCTCATGATGCTTTTCGATACAAGCAGCTTTGATGAGGGCGTCGTGCAATATATATATATATATAGCCGTGGCAATGAACATTTGCAGAGTTAGCTGAGTTAGCTGTGTGCCTTGACTAAAACTGGCTGGCTTTCTTCCGCCCCGCGTGGCCCTAACCTCAGAACATTCATCGAAGCCCTTCAATGCGGCACAAAATGCAGGGCTCTCCGGCTCGGAGCAAAGCATAGCTTCTTGTTACTAGTAGTAAGGCCAGGAGCCCTTAGTAGCATCCTTGCTCCTTGTAGCGATGCCCTTTGTTACTAGTAGCTTCTTGAAGCACTGATCTAATGCTAAAGCGCGCTGAGCTTCAAACTCCAAAAGCATGTCCGTTGCCAAGCTGCGAACATACCAAGAATCATCACTCCTTAGCATCCAGACCCAGGCGTTCAAAATCCTTCAAGTAAGTCGCACGGTATTTACATGAAAAAACATCCGGGTCGCCAGGACACCAACATGCCCACCCGGTGATGGAGCAATTCATGCATGCAAAATGGGTTGCAACTCACCCATGAGCTTATGGAGGCAGGTGTCAAATGCCTCTCCAAAACGAAAACCGTAAAGATCCGTAAAGTGGACTCAAAAACACGGATTCGGGGATCGGTTCAGAAACCTGAACTTCAGTGGAAGCATGTGGAAGCCATCTGCCTTAAAGGAAATAAAAGGTCTAAAACTCTAAGGAACCAGAAGAGAAACAGGAGAGAAACAGCATATTTAAGGAACCTAATTAATAGCGATGGTCTCCAACCTAGTAGCTTCTTGCTACTAGCAGTAATGGCCTCCACCCTATTTTCAAGAACAAGATTGTTGACGCCATCATCTCGCGGTTCGCTCTTTTCCGACGGCAAGGCAAGCGTCAGCCAAGCTATTTACGAGGCGTTTTTCCAACGGCTCTCGTCTTAATTAAGGGCCGTCTACAAACTACTAGGTAACCTGCCGCAGGATAGTTCACGCTATTCATTTGGCTCGAGGAGAAACTTTAGTAACATGGAAGCACCTCACGGCTCAAGGCGTCCTCACTTTTTTCTTCTCCTGCCAGGACAAGCATCGCACAAACAGCGACGTGCAAAGGTCGCTGGCAGAGCGCCACACAGTGTCACACATGGTTCGTTCAGTGTCGTCAAATGTTTTTGCTCTGACATACTATAGCCACAAGCTACATGAACACTATCAGTCTTGATAATGATCCGCGTAATCAGCACTCACGGCGCTGAGGATTACTTCAACCCCAGTGCTCAAGTGCAGCTCGCTTGAGGCTGCAGATGTGGGGGCTCTCCGGGCGAAAAAACACAAGCAAACGTCAGACGAGTCGAAAACGCAAAGCCTGCCTGTGTTTCTGAAAAAGCGCGCTTTCTTTGATGCATTGAAAAAGTGCTAAGACAAACGGTTTTTTCGACAAAATCCGCGAGGAGAAGTCGATTATGAACAGAGTAGTGCCAGATTTGGACAAGGATGTGGTGCTTTTTACAGTGTAAGTCACAGTACATTTGCACGGCCAAAAAAGTTATGTCTGATAGTCAGCCCTTTTTTTGTCTGATCTTCATTCCTTTCGGTCTTAAGTTTGCCATCGTGCTTTTCTGAAAGCATCGCGTGGCACCACGCATGCTTCGCATGCCTTTGCGCGAAAAATCGCGAGAGCTCTCAAGACCCGTTTCAACCCAGGTCCCTTGTTGAGGTAGTGAGCAGCAAGGAGGTTCCTGAGATCGATAGTATCTTTGGAATCATTGAATAAAAGGTTGCACCGTCGGAACCAAATATGGTGACGTCGATGACAATGTTGTGATCACTGTTGTGACCCCCCGACCCCCCCACCCCAATCGATGACAATATTGTGGTCATGACAATGCTGTGATCGATGACAATGTTGTGATGCTGAAGTCCCCGATGTCCCCGATGATGCAGAAGTCCCTGGAGAACCCCCCCCGTCCAGAACCTCGCTTGATTGTCATCATGCAAGCGTTCAGGAGACGGCCACTTTTG